GGCCAGGCAGACAGACAGACCAGCAGACAGGCAGGCGGGCAGACACACAGACAGACAGACCGGCAGACAGGCAGGCAGGCGGGCTGGCAGGCAGGCAGATTCTGTTGGGGTATCTGATCCATGCTGCATCTATAACCCCATGCTTCTTGCCCACGTAAGGATGGTGACAGTGCCTGCCCTTCCAGCTCCCAAGTCCCCAAACCCCTTGCTTTTTGTCCTTTAGTATTTTTGGTGCTGGGGATTAAAGCCAGGACCTTGTACATGTTGACCAATGAGCCACGCCCCCAGCCCCTCACTGGGGGATTCTAGGCAGGGGCTCTACCACTGAGCCACACCTCCATATCTCTGCCCTTTGTTCTGTATCCCCGCCTATTGCACTCCAAGTCACCTAACACATCATCCCACATAGTGGCAGCCCCTGAAGTCTCCACTTCTGTGCTGCTTTTCCTTCCTCGAGACTCAGTGACTCTTCGTAGCCATCCTTGAGTTCTGGTCTCTGTGAGATGTAATCCATTTCGTTTCCCCAAATCCCATATAAAATAGTGACTCTCGGCCATGCACAGTAACACGCTGGGAGGCACTTGGCTAAAAATACACATTCTTTGGACCTGTGTGATGGCTCAGCGAGCCAACTCCAAACCCTATGACCTGAGTTTGATTCCTAAAACCCACAAGGTAGAAGGAGAGAATTGACTCACATAAATTATCTTCTGACCTTCACATGTGTGCCCACATGAACAAACAAGTTAAAAATTTTAAGTACTCACTGTTATTACACACATTAATAACAGTTGTAGAGAAGTTAGGAATGTAACTTAGTGGGTAGACCCCCTGCCTAGAATCCCTCAGTGAGGGGCTGGGGCACTCTGGGCCCACTGTACCATTGCCCTGTTGTGAGACCCTGGCCTCAGTTTCCAGAATTGTAAATTGGAAGTGCTAGTGCATGAATCTCCCTCTGTATGAGCATTTATTGAGTCACATGTACAGGGGTCAGAGCAGTCCCAGGCCACCCAAAGTGCTGTATTAATGGAACTAGGCATCACCCTCCTGTAGTCCCAGCACTTGGGAGCTGGAGGCAAGAGGAACACGAATTTTAGCTCAGCCTTGGCTGTAAATTGTGTGTGTGTGTGTGTGTGTGTGTGTGTGTGGGGTGTGTGTGTGTGTAGTTCACAGGGGAGGGCTTAGGTCCTGCCCCAAATGATGTAACAGACTTTGATGATCCCCCATGGGAGGCCTCACCCTCCCTGAGGAGTTGATGCAGGTGGGATGGGGGGTTGGTGGGGGTAATGGAGGAGGGAGAAGGAACTGGGATTAGTATGTAAAATAGGATTGTTTTTAACTTTAATTAATTAATTAATTAAAAAATTGTTGGCAAACAAGCCTGTGGGATATTTTCTCAATTAGTGATTGATGTGGAAGGGCCGGCCAAGTTTACTGTGGCTCACTCACTTTGTGTCCATAGGCATCCCAGAAGCACCACCCTGAGTGTATAAGAATACAGACTGAGCAAGGCATAGAGAACAAGCCAGAAAGACATGTTCCTCTGTGGCCTCTGCTTCAGTTTCTGTCTCCTGCTTCCTGCCTTGGGTTCCTGCCCTAACTTCTTTGATGATGGAAGGACTGTAATGTAGGAGTATAAGTGAAGTCAACCCTTTCCTCCCTAAGGTGCTTTTGGTCACTGTGTTTTATTACAACCAAAACCCTAACCAAGACATAAAAACAAATGGTAGAAATATCTGGAACTATCTTCTCTAACCCACCCCCTCCCTCTCATGAAAGACCCCTCTGATTTCATAGGGTCCATCTGAATAAACCAGGTCATCCCCAAGTAATTGCTCCCTCAAAGCACCTTTGCTATGTAAGGTACCACTAGGTCCTTACACTTAGGTTTTAGGTACAAAGATGTGTGTCACCATGATAAAACACTTGACAGATATAAAATATGAGAGGAGAAGTTTATTTTGACTCTTGGATTCAAAAGATCTCTGGCATAGCAGGGAAGGTAGTATCTGTGACTCCAAAGTATCAAACAGAGAAAGCAGAAAATATGAGCCATATGAAACCTTCAAAGGCCTAGCTAGACCTTTTAGTTGACTTCTGTCACCCAGCCCCCGCCTCCTAAAATTTCCACAGCTCTCCACAAATACTGCCAGCAACAGGAAGACATGTGCTCAGATACAAGCCCTGGGGGAACATCTCATATTCAAACAATAATAGTGGGGGTGTTTTTTCTCTCTCATAACAAGTTCCTTAACCTCTTTGTCTTGCTTCTTCATGCATGAAATGAGAGTAACTGTATATTCTCCACAGGTTTGTTGTATGAGTGTTTATCCACATAGTAACAAGTAATCAATGAACACTTATTGCTGCTAACGCTAACCTATTATTTATTATTAGAATATTGAGCAGGAAAAGAGGTGCTCAAAATAATTAAATACTTGAGTTGATTTCTGATTCTTTAAAGCACAATGAATTTCTGAAGAACACGCACACATTCACATATACACACAGGTGCACATACATATATGTGTACATACCACACATGCACATATACACACAAGAATACACATGCATGCCCCCACACACAAGTAAAAACACAAAGCATACACATACTCACACAGACACACACACACACACACACACAGAGAGGCATACACACAGACACACACACAGAGACACACACACACACACACACACACACACATACACATACACACACAGACACACAAACACACTCACAAACACACACAGACACATACACCACACAGAGAGCCCCTAGGCAACCCCACCCTCTGGCTCCCATACTGAGTTCAGATTAAGACTCTGGGCCAATCCTATGTAACTACCTTGTGGAAAAGGAGCAGCTTTTCCAAATTAGCAGGTACAGTAAGTGCCTGCTGCGATTGGAAGGCAGACATTTGGAACCACTTTGCAGAGGAATTCCCTGCAGTCCCCTAGCTGTTGCTTAGCAACCGTAAACAGATGGGGGCTGCCACTGGATCCCACAGATTCTTAACGTTCTCCTTTACAGAGAAATCCAGCCTGTGGCCTGAGAGCTGGCAAGGGGGCCTTGTGACAAAGGCAGGTTTTTCAGCCTAACAAAGCCAAACCTTTGGAGCCCAGGCTAGGCCCAGCTCTCCACCCTAGTGCCTCAACCTCCCAAATGTTGGTGCCACTGTGCCCTGCTCCAGACAAGCCTTTCTTTCTTTCCTTTCCTTTGCCTTTTTTTTTTTTTTTTAAGAGACTTTTTGGGGGGCATAGTGGCATAGGCCTTCTCCCCCCCAGCAGGGTTTCTCTGCTTTCCACAGAGAAACCCTGTCTCAAAAACAAAACAAAAACAAACAAACAACAAAGGAGAGAGATCAATCATTTTGATCCTGATCTATGACTTGAAGGCCGGGTAGCCTCTTTGTGGCTGGTAAAAAAAATCATTGCGTCCTCTGGCCAGTGAACTTCCAGCTGGCTCTTCTTGCTTAAGCCCTCATTCACAAACTCAGCGTCTAGCAGCCCTGGTTGCCTAGCTGAGCCCAGACAGGCTCTAGCACAGCAGTTCTCGGCTTTTCTAACCCTTCCATCCTTTAATACAGTTCCTCAAGTTGTGGTGATTCCCAACCATAAAATTTTTATTGCTATTTCATAACTGTAGTTTTGCTACTGTTATGTGCCATAATGAAAATGTCTGATAAGTGACCTCCGTGAAAGGGTCGTTCGGTCCTCCCAAGGGGCCTCGACGCACAGGTTAAGAATCACTGCTAGATTTGGATAGTGGACCTGGACTTCTACTCTGCAACCCGGAGTGGTTGAGCATCTGAGCCAGGTCATGCGGCAGACAAAAAACAAAACAAAACAAAAAAACCAGCATTTCTGGCTTTCATCCAGGTGCTTCTTTGGATTAAGAGTGGGAGGTAACCAGACAGTGGTGGCACAGGCCTTTAATCCCAGCACTCGGGAGGCAGAGGCAGGTGGATCTCTGTGAGTTCGAGGCCAGCCTGGTCTCCAGAACGAGTGCCAGGATAGGCTCCAAAGCTACACAGAGAAACCCTGTCTTGAAAAAGTACAAAAAAAAAAAAAAAAAAAAAAAAAAAGAGTGGGGATGTAAGAGAGGGAGTATTGGGGGTCACGCCAGCACCCCCAGGCTGGGGTCTCAGAACTAATTTCCCTTTGCCTATAGGCAGGCCGTCAATGCCACCGGGCACCTCACAGACACACTGTGGTTGATCCCTATCACGTTCCTGACAATCGGCTACGGGGACGTGGTACCCGGCACCATATGGGGCAAGATTGTCTGCCTGTGCACCGGAGTCATGGTGAGTGCCGCCCCCAGACCCTCTCACTGCCCACTGCTTAACCTCATGGCTCAGGAAACCATGGGCCAACCTAGGCCGTCTTGGACATCCGTGAAGAAAGTGGGTGTCTGGACACTCCCACAGCCTCGTTCTTTATTCAAGACCCAGAAATCCAATGCCATTTTGCTTTCTTCTCCATCCTTCTCTTCCTCTCCCTCCCTCCCTCCCTTGCTTCTCCTCCTCCTCCTCCTCTAAGTTAGGGTTTTGCTAAGTTCCCCAGGCTAGCCTTAACCTCCCTACACATTCCTGGCTGGCCTCAAACCCCCAGTCCTCAGCCTTCAGCCTTCAGCACGCTGGATACTACAAACGACCCGTTCTTCTCTCCGAGACCATTACCTCTTTAGTCCTTCCTGGATCCCAGGTTTCAATTTCCTCAGACCCAGGCCCCAATTTCCCAGCCCTGTTTTCTTCCTGAGTCAAGGGATCCAGTCTCCTGTCCCCCCCTGCAAGGTACAGAGTCATCACCCGGAGTTATGTTTGGGGGAACCAAGCTTCATAGAGTCAAGCCTCACTCTGTCCTTTGCTCACTGGGGAGTCAAACAAACCAAACCGCATGATGTGTCTGGGCCTCGGTGTCCCTGACTGTAAAGTGGGTGGGTGCCAGTCCCAGCATCCTCCCTGTGGGATTGTTGAGGGTTCAAACACAGGAAATGCTCAATAAATGCCCACGGGGAGGAGATGACAGTTTGCTGTAACTGAACCTACCCATCTGTTCTGACCCCAGTTCCTGAGCGCTCCATGAGGAAGTGGGGGGTTGGGGGACAGTTGCTTTAACGGATTCCCCAGAATTTGGCTGCCCCCTCTATACCTTAGGAGCCCACCAGGCAGCGGCAGAAGCTCTAGCCCCAGTCACTACTTCCTACCACAGAGCCTCCCCCACCCCACTCCTCTCACCCGGCTCCTTCCTTCAGGGCCCAGCTCCAAGCTCCGATGCTGCCCCAGGACACGTTAAGTCCCTAACCCTTGAGTCTATGGGTGACCGATGGTGTGGCAGATGAGTGTGATACCCACCCAGTAGTGAGGCTTTGGGTCAGAGGAAAAGCCAGAAAAATATGCCCAAGGGTCAGGAGCCTCGGGGCTGCATCTTTGGGCAGAAAGAAAAACTGGAACTATGTGAAATGAGACAACTAGACTCTACTATTTTAAAATTATATTTAATGATTTATTTGGGAGGGTTCGCCTGTCAGGGCATTCATGTCCAGGTCAAAGGACTACTTTTGGGGGAATGGGTTCTCTTTCCACCATGAGGGTTCTGGGGTTTGGACTCAGATCATCAGGCTTAGTGGCAAGTGCCTTGTACCCCCTGAGCCATCTCACTGGCTCTCTTTTGGGGATTGTTTTTTTTTCTTGGAAGGAGTGGACAAAGCGCTCATGTAGCCCAGGCTGGCCTCAAACCTGCCATGGAACAGAGGCTGATCCTCCTGCCTCAGCACAGTCTCCTCGTCCCCCTGGTAGGGGTCTACAGGTGTGTGTCACAAAGCTTGTCTCTGTAACAGACTGCTCCTCTGCCAATCTCTGCTCTGACACTGCGCAGGTGGCAACTGGCAGCATTTACACAGACACTTGGTGTGTGGGGGGAACATATTTGTTTCCTAAAGAGGTAGTCCTCTCCTCTTCCAATGAGCCAGCTAAGGAAAGAGGCATTCAAGCTGGGGGGAGGTGTCGAATGGGTTATGCCTGTGATCCCCAAAACCAGAGAGGCAGAGGCTGGAAGATTGATGCAGCTTTGGGGGTAGCCTGGGCTACATAGAGTGCCTCTGTTCACACCCCCAAACAATCAGGGCTGGGAGTTTGACTTGTCCAGCATGCATGAAGACCTGGGTTAGGTGCCCAGTATGGTATTAACTGGGCACAGTGAGAAGTGCTTGCAATTGCAGCCCTTTGGAGTCGGAGGCAGGAGGATCAGAGGTCATCCTTGGTTACATAGCGAATTCAAGGCCACCCTGAAAGATGGTGGGATGCCCTCTGTGGTTGTGAGATGACCAGGGGGAGCTGGTGACATACAGCTGACCCGCAGAGTCCCACAGCCTTACATGCCTTGCTTGGTGTGCTCACAGGGAGTCTGTTGCACGGCCCTGCTTGTGGCCGTGGTGGCCCGGAAACTGGAGTTTAACAAGGCGGAGAAACATGTACACAACTTTATGATGGACATCCATTATGCCAAAGAGGTGAGGCTGGGGGCTGGGTGTTGGGGACCTAAAAAGTTCCTTTAGGGAATATCTTAAGACCCAACCTCCGGTTTCAGTGAACAGAGCACCCAGGAGCTCCGGTCTACAATGCGAGCAAGTCTGCTATTGTATAGCATGGCCTCAGTGTAGAATGCCTCCTAGTTTGCATCTCTACAGAACTAAGCATTTGAATAGGCCTGCACCTGGGCTGGAGGTTAGGTGTGTGAGTAACAAGTGAGGGCAGAGAGTTAGGAGCGACCTGGCAGAGAGAGGGGTCAGGAGGAGAGAAATGGCCTCCTCATGGCCATGGAAGCATGGTTAAGAAACAGCCAAGAGGATGCTAAGTAAAAAAGAGACTTTTCCAGTTTTGCAGCATGGAACTTAGAGCTCTCTAAAGATGACAAGATGCCTGTGTTTGGTCTTTATCGACATTGGGTTGCTAGGAGTTTCCAAGTCCACGCTCCCCAACTCAGGCTGAACCTCATGGCTACCGTGGCTTGGAGCTGAGACTGGCCGGGCCACGACAGCTGGGCACCCAGACTGGGGCTGTAGCTCAGTGGTTAGAACACTTGCCTAGGGTGCATAGGATCCTGGGTTTGACTCCCAGCAAGCACTATGTAAATGGCACAGTGGTGTAGGCCTGTAATCCCAGAATCCAGAGGTTGGAGGCAGGAGTATGTTCAAAGTCAGACTCAGCTGCATAGTGAGTTCAAGTGTAAGACCCCCGGAAGCTCAGGCCTCCAGGATCTCAGGCCAGGACCGAGGTCACCCCAATCACCAGGCAGATTCAAAAGCATGATGCAAACTGCACGAGGCTTTATTGTTGTTTAAGGAGCTAACCCCATGTTAGCTCAGGTCGTTCATCCACCCACCATGGTGGATGGCTAGCAAAGAAAGCTCGAACTGTCTGCACAGAGATCTTATAGTGCAGCGTAAGGGGAGTGTCTAGGGGTACGCACAGGCTCAGGATTGGTGTGCCTCCAGGCTTGGAGGGCTTGCCCTGTGTTGATTGGTCAACTGGTTGTTATGGCCCATAGGCCCTCCCAGGGTGGTTGCTATGCTCTGCGCGTCATTGTTGAGCACTTGTCTGAAAAGCACACCCAGAGCCATAAAGCATAGCGCCACCAGCTAACTTCTGATTGGTTCCTTGCCACAAGGCAGGAATCTGATCTCCTAGTGACCAAGACAAGGTCAGACAAGCACGTGTTCAGCTGTTACGGCTGCTGAAATGGGGAGCTGGTCCCTTCACAAGGACAACTGGGCTACATGAGACCCTGTTTAAAAAAAAAAAAAAGCCAATTCCCCTTAAAGCTAGTCATGATGGGTGGTTCATGCTAGTGACCCCAGGAGGATTAGGCAGTAGAATTGAGGCCAACATGGGCTACATAGCAAGACCCTAAGGGAAAAGAAATCCAGCCCCTCTACTCTAAGCCAGGTCTTTCAGAATCCCAGCAACCCCTCTTCACTGACACTGTGCCCCCCCAAATCAGATGAAGGAGTCGGCTGCACGGCTCCTGCAGGAAGCCTGGATGTACTACAAGCACACTCGCAGGAAGGACTCTCGAGCTGCCCGAAGGCATCAACGCAAGTTGCTGGCCGCCATCTACACGTGAGGGTCTCTGTCTGTGTCCCTGTCACCGCTCTGCATGGCTCTTGTGTGCATGCCCTGGCCTGTCCACCAAGACCTGATTTCCACTCGGTGTCGGTGGCCCTGGATTCCCAGATTTGACCCCTTTGTGCTCTGCTCCCCTCACCCCTCCTCTCTGACGTAACCAGGGACCAGGGTTAGAATTGAACCCACCTCCCCACAGGTTCCGCCAGGTACGGCTGAAACACAGGAAGCTCCGGGAA